TTAGTCAGCCAAGTAGACTGACATGCTGTTGAGGTTCTCGGCTTGGACTCTGACCCAGGAACATTCCAGTTGAGGGTGCGTGAAAGCACCCCAACCATTTGCTTGACCCCCTAATTCGGTTATCGTTTTTTATTACTCTTGTCGCTTTATAGGACGTTGGATAACTTTGGGACTGTATGATGCAGCACATCTTCCTCATCCTTCTTTTTACTCTTATCGTTTCGCAAGGAAACTGACTGCTGACTGCTCTCAACTTACGGACGCATCTACTTAAAAAATGCTCTCGGCTTTTTTAATATTTCACTTGCAGATCAACGGCGATATGCTCCCAGGATTAGGACACTGTACGATTTGCAGGTACATGGCAGCCCTGTCCGATCCGTAGCTTGTTTGGGTATCGTAGCTTGTTGAACCGTGCCCTGCATTTTCGGACCACGGCTTTCAAACTGCAGGTTAAGCACCACTTTTGCGAAGAGCCGTCGGTAAACACGACTTCACACACACACACACACACACATCTGCGAATGCATGTTGGAGATGTAACTACACATGTAGTGCATGTATGTGTATGTATTTGCATAATTTCAAATTTTTGCGGTACACAGGTGTCAATAAACAAACAGATACAAGCATACATCTATCTCTCTCTATATATTAATCTACATGAGTATGTTTATGTTTGTTTAGCTTTCTTATATGTAAAGGTATGCACATGTGCAGAGATAGATATATGATATGCATCGGATCCTTGCGTACTGGCATGATGATAGCACATAGCAACCGCATCTGCTACCCAACATCCTGTACAAACCCAGGGCTCCCTTCCACAAGTGCTTCATTTGCGTTGAGTGCCGGAAGCAGGCACATCTGACGAAGCAGCCTATAAGTGAAACAACGTGTATATGTGTATATGTGTATATATATGTGTATATACATATATATATATGAGAGGAGAGAGAGAGAGAGAGAGAGAGAGAGAGAGAGAGAGAGAGAGAGAGAGAGAGAGAGAGAGAGAGAGAGAGAGAGAGAGAGAGAGAGAGAGAGAGAGCGAGACCATGGTGGCAAGGCCTTGGTACAGCAGCGCCAAACCTCAGAGAAGCGACATACAGTTCCTTGCGGCACCATGTGATTCCGCACTGAGGCACATTATTAACTGGCTACAGAACCGGGCTAGAAACCCCGAAGCTGGCACCCAGAATGCTAGCAAGCTTGAAGGCGCTTGCAAGCTTCGCGTTCTGGAACAGGAACAGGCGCGTGATGCGTGTCGTAGTCTAGAAGTCTCCGGCCTGTCAGGAAAGGCCTGAATAGTCATGCTCAGCACTGAAGCCCCTTGCGGGACCTCGAAACATGGAGCACTTTACCTGATGTCGTGCGAGCCGTCTGATCAAAGAAGCTAACGAGTAATTCGAAAACATTCAAACACCATATGCACTACGAGGATATGGAGTTTGTCATGAACGATCTCGGAACACATTTACGATGGCGACCCTGCCCAGCCATGTAACCGCCGTCGCAACCAGATGAGCTCAGGAGCACTTGCCCAAGCAGCGTGATCTGAAATTGCTTCGGCAAGAGTTCCAGTGCTAGTCTCTTGTCCCTCATGACTTGCAATATCTTATAGCATTTTCCTGAATGAAGCTCGCTTTCCGCGCTACGTCCCAGTATGACCGGAATGCTGGTGCACAAGTGCCGGTTATGGCGCAGATTTATATATATATATATATATATAGATAGATAGATAGATAGATATATATATATATGAGAGTGCTACCTCTTGGGTCTATTTAGCTACTATGTTTTCTTTATTTATTTATATATATTGTAAATAATTGAAATAATTGAAATAATTGAAATAATTCAAATATAAGGTGCTGATTTCAATTATTTCAATTATTTAGGTGACCCAAACAATTGAAATAATTGAAATAATTGAAATCGGCCCCATTTCAATTATTTCAATTATTTCAATTATTTCAAATAATTGAAATCCTATGGTTCTGTGGAAAGGCCTCACGGACCACAAGGATTTCAATTATTTCAATTATTTCAATTATTTGTGTCACCCAAATAATTGAAATAATTGAAATCAATAGGTTTACTAGGTCAACGGATGAACCACACGATTTCAATTAATTGAAATAATTGAAATAATTGAAATAATTGAAATAATTGAAATCGGCCCTATTTCAATTATTTCAATTATTTCAATTATTTAGGTGACCCAAACAATTGAAATAATTGAAATAATTGAAATCGGCCCCATTTCAATTATTTCAATTATTTCAATTATTTCAATTAATTGAAATCCTATGGTTCTGTGGAAGGGCCTCACGGACCACAAGGATTTCAATTATTTCAATTATTTGATTATTTGTGTCACCCAAATAATTGAAATAATTGAAATCAATAGGTTTACTAGGTCAACGGATGAACCACACGATTTCAATAATTGAAATAATTGAAATAATTGAAATAATTGAAATAATTGAAATCGGCCCTATTTCAATTATTTCAATTATTTCAATTATTTAGGTGACCCAAACAATTGAAATAATTGAAATAATTGAAATCGGCCCCATTTCAATTATTTCAATTATTTCAATTATTTCAATTATTTCAATTAATTGAAATCCTATGGTTCTGTGGAAGGGCCTCACGGACCACAAGGGTTTCAATTATTTCAATTATTTCAATTATTTGTGTCACCCAAATAATTGAAATAATTGAAATAATTGAAATCAATAGGTTTACTAGGTCAACGGATGAACCACACGATTTCAATTAATTGAAATAATTGAAATAATTGAAATAATTGAAATCTCGGCCCTATTTCAATTATTTCAATTATTTCAATTATTTAGGTGACCCAAACAATTGAAATAATTGAAATAATTGAAATCGGCCCCATTTCAATTATTTCAATTATTTCAATTATTTCAATTAATTGAAATCCTATGGTTCTGTGGAAGGGCCACACGGACCACAAGGATTTCAATTATTTCAATTATTTCGAGGTGACCCAAACAATTGAAATAATTGAAATCAATAGGTTTCCTAGTCAACCGATGAACCACACGATTTCAATTAATTGAAATAATTGAAATAATTGAAATCGGCCCTATTTCAATTATTTCAATTATTTCAATTATTTAGGTGACCCAAACAATTGAAATAATTGAAATCGGCCCTATTTCAATTATTTCAATTATTTCAATTATTTCAATTAATTGAAATCCTATGGTTCTGTGGAAGGGCCTCACGGACCACAAGGATTTCAATTATTTCAATTATTTAGGTGACCCAAACAATTGAAATAATTGAAATAATTGAAATCGGACCCATTTCAATTATTTCAATTATTTCAATTATTTCAATTAATTGAAATGGTGGGGTTCTGTCGATAGGGCCACTGCCTCACCCCCTGCTCTCCCCCGCCCACCTGTATTCCTTTGCCCACCACCACTCCCCTGCGCCCATTCCCTCCACCCCCTCCCTTCCCCTCCTCTCACCTGCCCTCCCTACTCCCTCCCTCCTTCCCCTTCGCCTCACCCCACTGCCGGGGAGGGGGGGTGGGCGGGTGGAAGGGTAGGGGATTGGGGGCGGGTGGGGATGTAGAGGAGCGGACCCTCCCCCCCCACTACCCTACCTGCCACCTTCCCACCCCACCCCCTCACTCATCCACCCCCCACCCCTCCACCCCCAACCCCTCCCACGCACTCCTCCACCCCCTCCGTCCCCCACTCTCTCCTTCCCCTCTCCCTTCATTTCTCTCCCACCCCTCAAAACCCCCTCCCTCCCCCCCTCACCCCATCATTGCCTCCCCTCCCCATCCCTTCCCCTCACTCCATCCTCCTCATCTCCTCTGCCCTTCCCTATCCCATCTCTTCCCTTCCTCCGCTCCCTCCACTCCCTCCATCCCCTCAGCCATTCTTTTCATTCCCTACCCCTAAACCCACCGCCCCTCAACCCCTGAATCCACCTCCACCCTACCAAAGAGTTAGCGAAGATGTCATTCGACAGAACAGCCTCGCCGTCAGGATCGGTGTTGGAAATGGGAAGAGACAGCAGGCTCCAAACCGCCGTGTCTCACCCACCACTTCAAGGGCTAGGGATCCCACACATCTGCGGGCAAAATCTGGCGGAAGTGATCCGCCACCGAGCAAAAAGCCTGTAAATACCGCATTAAACAAAAGGCCAGGGATTTCACATATCTGGTGGCAAAATCTGGCGGAAGTGAGCAATCGGTACTTCTGTCAGATTTTGCCAACAGATATGTGAAATCCCTGGCCCTTTGTTTAATGCGGTATTTACAGGCTTTTTGCTTGGTGGCGGATCACTTCCGCCAGATTTTGCCCGCAGATGTGTGGGATCCCTGGCCGTTTTTTGAACGCGGCATTTACAGGCTTTCTGCTCGGTCGCGGCTCGCAGGGATTATATACCCTTGCCCCCACTCCACCCTCCCGCCCCCTTCATACCTCACTACCCACCCCCCTATCTCAGCCCCTTCCCACACCCTCCCCACCAACCACCACACACCACCCACCACACACCACCCACCACACCACCCATCACCCACCACCCACCACCCACCACCCACCACTACCCAGCACCCGCCAGCCACCACTACCCACTACCCACCACCCACCACCTACTCCTCCCCATCATCGTTATCACCATCCTATTATCATTTATCATCGGTTTATCACCTTTATCACCCACTCCCCCAAACCCACCCCTCACCACGCCAGCACAAACCCCCTGCCCATTCACATCCCTCCCCCACCCCACCCACTACCCCCACCCCCACCACGAACCCATTAGGGTCCAACAGGGCTGCGGACACCCCACCCCCTCTCCATCATCATCATCTTCATCATCTTCATCATCTGCATCATCTTCATCATCTTCTTCATCGTCATCATCCTCGTTGCCGGTTTCATTGGTTTTAATACCGCTCCCCCTATTCTTAAAGGTAATTTCATAGGTATTGTACGAACCATAATACAATCGATATATCTTAACTACTATATCAAGAATAGCTTACCGCATCGCATCTACATACTTTGTAACCGGGCTTACTATAAAGGCCCCATATGAGGGATCCATAATGGGTTTCTAGAAAGTCTCTCTGTACGGGATCTATAGTTTTTTATATAATGGGTTTTTATAAGGTCTCTACATAGAGGATCTATAAGATTTCTATAAGCAATCTGTAAGGGTTTTCCAGAAGGGCTCCATACGAGGGATCTATACAGAACTTCCATGTGGTTTCTACAAAGGGTAAGGAATATATAGCAGTTGTCTATGAAAGCTCCATGTAAGGGATCTTGTAAAGTTTTCTACAAAGAACTCCATTTGTTGATCTATACGGGGTTTCTATAAGTTCTCTATATAGGGGATCTATAAAGTTTCTATACGAATCTATAAAGGCTGTCTATGAGGGCTCCATACAAGGGATCTGTGAAGGGATCTATAGGGATTTTTTCATGGGAATGTATACCTTCGATACGGATAATTGCGCCTTTGTTAAGATCGTGAAGACTATTAACTACGTGATATCCTTCTTGGCTAATGCTGTGATCACATCAGATCTGATATGTATAGAGATACATTGGAAGGCACATGGGAAAACAAACTGACACATTACAGGCCTTCTAATGTGTCATTATTCCTATTGAAACCCTAAAGGCAAGGAACTTATACACTGTAGAGCATCTGTATATTGGAAGGTTTTATAAATTGACGCATTACAGGCCCTCTAATGTGTCACTCCACTCCTTCCTATGGAACCTCTATTGCAATGGAACTTTTCCACTAGAAAACCCCTGGACATAATAAACTGACACACTGCAGGCCCTATAATGTGTCGCTCCACCTATCCTATTGAAACCCTACTGATAAGAAATTGATACATCGGAAAGCACTTTTTATGGACATAACAAACTGGCACATTAAACCCACTATAATGTGTATCTTCACTTCCTGGGTCCTGGACCTCTAATGTGTCACTCCATTTCTCCTACTGAAACCCTACTAACAAGGAACTTATACACTGTCAGGCCCCTGTACCTGGGCATATCAAATTGACATATTACAGGCACCCTAATGTGTCACTCCACCCACTCCGATTGACCCTCTACTGACAAGGAACTTATACACTGGAAAGTCCAGGACATAACAGATTGGCACATTACATGCCCTGTAAAGTGTTACTTCCACTTCCCCTGTTCAAACTCTATTGACTTGGGCATAACGAATTAACACATTACAAGCCCTCTAATGTGTCACTTCATCCCTTCTATTGAAAGTATATTGACAAGGAAAATCCTACTTTGGAAGGCTCCTGGACACAGCGACCTGACACATTACAGACCCTCTAATGTGTTACTCCATTCCCCATGGAAACCTATTGACAAGGAACTTATACACTGAAGCGACCGTGTATATTGGAAGGCCCCTGGGCAGAACAAACTGACACAATATAGACTCTCTAATGTGTCACTCCACTCCCGCCTATCGAAACTCTTTTGGCGAGGAACTTATACATTCGAAAGCCCCCAGACAGAACAAACGAACACATTACAAGCCTTTGACCTGTCACGCCCACTCATCCTACTGAAGCCCTCTTGATATGAAGCTGATACATCGGAAAGCCCTTCTTACGGACAGAAGAAACTGGCACATTGCAGGGGCTATAATGTTTCTCTTCACTTCCTGGACAGGGCGAACCAATACATTACATGCACTCCTCATATTGAAACCCTATTGACAAGGAACTAGTTTGTTCAGACCTGGCTTGCCTCAGTAGATATATGTAGCATATGTAACAACAGAATATAACAGGCAACGAGTTGTAGTAAGTTTTGCGACAGCATCATAGTTTGCACGTAGAGGAGGTAACTTACGCTAAATAGGATTCGTAGTCGCAGTGGCGTAGACAATCCTTAATAGAATTAATTTTGGTTACACTGTTTGTAACTTATATTCGACTGCATTAGTACTGACACTATTTTTGCAATGCCTAATATATGATTGTAATGATGCTAACTTACACTAGGTAGGATTCGCAGCGACAGGGATGTAAGCAATACTTACTATAATTATTTTGGTTGGAGTGTTGTTGCTTTGTGTTTCCTGTCCCGCAGAACAGTGAGACGCTTCGTATCCTGTGCCACCGCATACACGAGAGCCTTACAGAGGCTGAGGCAAAGGAAAGACAACTGCAATATGGCAGCAATGATTACAGGATTGATGTACCGCAGGTACGACAATTAGTAATGTCACGATTGCTTAGGCCAATCTTCTGTTCGAGTTGGTGTTTGTCTTTTTGTGGAGCCTGGATGGTTAGTGGCAGTTCACAGTTCTCTCCCTCGAGATGTAGGATTCCTAGTTGCAGGGGCGTCGACAAGACTTAGTAGAATTATTTTTGGTTCCAGTGTTTGTAATTTCTGTTCGGCTACACTAATACTGACACAGTATATGCAATACCTAATAGATAATTATAGTGATGCTAACTTACACTAGGTAGGATTCGCAGGGACAGAGATGTAAGCAATACTTACTATAATTATTTTGGTTGTATTGGTGTTGCTTTCTGTTTGATATGCATCCTAATGACACGGACCTAGATAAGAAGTATTATAAGTAGTTTGCACGTAAAGGAGGTAACTTACGCTGAATAGGATTCATAGTCGCAGTGGCGTAGACAATACTAAAAAGAAAGATTTTGGTTACACTGTTTGTAATTTCTATTCGACTGCATTAGTACTGACACTATATATGCAATGCCTAATATATGATTGTAGTGATGCTAACTTGCACTAGGTAGGATTCGCAGCGACAGGGATGTAAGCAATACTTACTATAATTATTTTGGTTGGAGTGTTATTGCTTTGTGTTCCATTGGATTCGTAATGATATTGTTATAGGTATTAATTATTAAAATTCAGTTGTCTGTATAGGTGACACTGTATATTAATCAGGTATCAACGTGGCAATGGTGTCAGCAATAATGATAAAAATATTATAGACCTAAGTAATGCTAAACTTTTCAGAGCGTAAGTCTTGTAATATAATATGTAGGAACATATGATTTAGATAGGGATCTTATATTGTATATATGGCAGACTAGTTAAATAGACCCTAAAGGTATCGGGCTCATATATATATATATATATATATACATATTTATTTATTTATTACATTTATATGTATATATAGTGGTTACATACGTACACATGTTCCACGACTCTCGAACATCACACGATAGCGCGCGACGTGGCAACACGAGGATGGTCTGAGGCAGGAGCACAGCTCCTGGTAGATGTTGAACCTTCGCCTGGGATCGAAAGTGAGAGGAAGAGGAAAATTCCTGCAGTCGACTGGTGGGCATCCCGGTGCAGCTACATCGACATGCCATGAGTTACAGCATCGAAACCGATCGAACCGAGGCACAGCGCATTGATGGAGTTTGGTGCCTGTGTCGGGAGGTGAGCAGGCCAGATCGTGTCGCTCCGAAACCAACTTCCATACCCCCGACCGGCCTCGCTGTACCTATCAACCAGGAAACCGTCGGACGAGTCAAGGAACTGCCTGCATAGGCGACTTCTATGACTGCTGATGAGTGGGAAGCGGGGTGCGCAGTCAGGTGCGGTAAAGGGCATCAGCATCCTTCGGGCCTGCCTCTAAAGAGCGTTACTCATATGGGTGGTTGTCAAAATTATGGTTCCTTTTTGGGTACACTAAATATTAGGTGCCGTATTATAATAAGGACCCATAAAAGGGACCCTAATTTTGACAACCGCCCATATGACAGTTTCGGAATAACAACACTGGGCACCTTTCGTTCCCTTGGATCTTGTGAAACACGTTACTCCCTTGTACCCACTCGGGAGGATCCTCACGGAAAGGCCCACGGGAACGGGAACGGGGATGTAGCTGAAAAGGGGCGGCGTGCTGAAATCGACGACAGAACTCCAATTCCTCCTAGAGCATATTAAGAAGACCGTAAAAGCCGAGGCACCTGTAGAAGGAGTAGTAGAATGCGTTCTCCGATCCGAAAGAGTCTGCAACCTGACAAGATATGGGACTCTGGATCAACAGAGTTTGTCGTATCATGACGCTGCTTCTGTAGTGGAAAGAACTCCCACTCTATGCCTTCCGAGCTGATGCAGGGCTTGTGTCAGCTGATACTCGAAACCAGCTTTGCTTCCTTATCGCTCACTTTAGCTTCATGTCAGTGTACAGTATGCATATCTCAATCTCTATCCCTGTCTACCATATAGTCGTTATCTATACATCTACATCTATCTGTATGTGTCTATACAGACAACGAAGCTTTCGACCGGGCAAGCCACGTCGCTCGAAGTCTGGCGGCCAAAGAAGATGGAGGCCGCGCCTTGGGCAGCGGGTCGTCTGCTATACTGGATCAGCCTGGGGCTGTACGGTTGATGATATAAATCCTGCATTACCCATAATTAGGATAAGGAATATACCATAATTCCCATAGTTTCGGGTCCTTGAGTTAATGCAGGATTTATATCATCAACCTTAGGACCCCTGAATTCAATAAGCCGCTGATTCTCGCCAGAGCGCGGGCAGCGATCCATGTGGAGAGGATCAAGACCACAAAGAGTCGTCCGCCCTGCAGCAGTGCCACGCAACATTGCAGCACTCGGTGGCACTGAAGACATTATTTGTGCCGTCTACTTAGCGAGGTACAGCAGTGGGGACCTGAGGACTTGGTGTGTCCTGGATTCGACTCGCCAGGCTGTCCAGAACCCAGCCTCACGACACTGCCGGGCCTCGGCACGCTTGCTTCCTTCCTTGACCTTGGCAGGCTTCTGGCAGGCACAAGAAGAGGATGTGATCCTTGCGATGAGCAAGATGTTGAGACGAGCCAACATTGTAAAGCATCCACAGACAAACAGCAATTGCCGGGAGCCAAACTGGAGGCTGCCCCTGGCCCGACATTGAGCCCACCTGGCAAATCTTGCCAGCACTTGCACTTGTGACACGTATCACTACAACATGACGACTCTACGGGCCTGGAAGCCAAGAATCAAAGTTCCAACTAACATTGCGAAGGATGGTGCGATGCTCGCTCGGAGTCGGAAACACCACGATGGCTCTTTGCAGGAGCGGATGTGCACCCAGGGGTTGCATTTGGGGTTCTGAAGCTGGAGAGGCAGAACCTGTAGTTGGAAATGAGACGAGAAAGACAAGCAGCCACAAACATGACAGCAGCACAGACCCTGCACCCTGCAATGCGACATGCCGGGAGATTCCTTCCAGGATAATACGCCAATGTGCACAGTACAGTGCAGAATGAAAACCTGACAACAGGAAGCCGAGAGCTTTCGTGCCCTCCGAAAATTGGCGGGCAAGTTGTGCCAGTCCTTCGCCCGGCGCAGGCCACCCAGTAAGTCCCGCTTCAGAACTTCATGTAGGAAGGCCTACTTACTATGCTTTTGTGGCCAGGGAACATCTGAAAACTCGAGATTCAGTTTCGGCCTGAGAGGTACGACATTCTTGGGCCGTGCACATGTCCGTGCGTGTCATGGATTGCGCATTAAACCTCAGACTCGAGCCGCAGAGTCTCCGGCACTTCGTCGGTCCAGTGTAGCGCGAACAGTGCTGCTCCCTGATGCTTGTACCAGGAACACCGAAGCTCTTAGGATGTTTTTCCACTCCGGCTCCATGGGAGATTGACTGCTGTCTGTTGCATCATCTTTGTCTTCGTCCTGTCAGGCTCAGACTCTCCAGTCTTTGCAGAATCATGTGTCAGAGCGCGACATACACGGTGCTCCCCCGAACTCCAGCAAGGGTTCTGGCAATGAGGCTCCTCATACAATCTGCTCTCACTCTCACAAAATCTGCCATGAGGACAATTCATGACGATGACGGTCTTGCTAGCGTGTTGAGCTTTTGCTTGCATCTCTGCTTTCCCACTGCTACCCTCAAAGCCCTACCTGCAACCTGACTGACAAGTGCCTCCGCAAGAGCTGTCCGACAGGCTTGAAGGATTCCGTGCTCCCGGGCACCCTCTTGTACCCTTGCCTGCCTCGAACAGTGGCGTCGGAAGCTCCTTCACAGGCGACTTTCCGATGTCAAGAAGAGTGAGGGTCTTCGGGCTACAGAAGCATTTGCAAATGCTGAAATCTGCTGGATTTAGGATTCTGCTTTTCCAGATCCGACGTCTCTGAATCATGGCCTGAAGCACCGCGGAGCTACTTCGTGCCTTCAGGCGTGTGAAGCCTGATGAACTAACGAACGGACCCAGCACGCCCCCGCGTGCTGACAGAAATTCACAAAAGACAGAACTCCTTTTACCTCGTCCGCCTTCAAACGCGGTTGTGCCGATGCCTCTTGGAACAGCAGGACAGGAAGAAACCTGCGAGACATCGACAACATGCACATGCAACTGTAAGGGGCTTCACTCCGTCTTGGAGCTCCGCCGGAAGCGGCTCTGGGCCGCATCTCGTTTTGGGACGGGGTCTGGCACATTCAGCGCCAAGACGATCACGGCGGCATTATCTGCCTTGGTTGCCTTCCCTGCGGCTTCAACCACAGCTTTTGCAGCCTCTTCTGGAGACCGCGTCTCGCGAAGCACTTTCCTCGCAGTCGTCGCGGCCGTCTGCGATTGAATTCCATCCCAAATGCCATCCGAAGCAAGGATCACGAACTCGGTATTGTCCGTTACTTGGATGGCTGTCAGCTCCGGTCTGCTGATCAGACCAGGGATCTTTTCTCCGGTCTTGTCCAGGATGTCGCCGAAAGCCCGGGAAACCTGCACCTTGCCATCAACGTAACCACCCTCCACCGTCACTCCACTCTCTGCCAGGCGCTGCTTCTCGGTCTCTTTCTCCGGTGAGTGGTCCTTCGTTGTGATCGTCACCTTCGCCGATCCGCAAACCACGCCGCGGCAATCGCCCAGATTTATCAACAGAAGCTCCTTCTCTCGGAGAAGGGCCACACAGGTGACGGTCCCGGACGACGCCCCTGACGACATCACTTTGGCTTCCTCAGCCAGTTCTGGCTGCATGAGCATCTCGACGGCATGGAAGGCGTTCATCACAGCCTCCTCCTTCGTGCTCGACTGCTGCTGGAGGTGAAGATCAAGCTGCTTGGGCAGCAACTCCTGCGCCCGCCGGGCAGCCTTGTCGCCACCGTGGCCGTCAAAGACGGCAAGGCACTTGTGCCCTGCCACGTTTTCCTCCATGGAGACAGCATCCTCCATCCTCGCCCTATCATTCTTCGCAAGAGCAAAGCCGTACTGGCTGTTGCCGCCGCTCCTATACTCTGGCAAGCCGATCCGCTCCTTGTCCCGCACGCCACAGCAATCGCACAAATTGCCCATGGCTGCCGTGTGCAGAGTATACAGGGCGCAACCGTCGTCAACGAACGGCACAAGTCGGGAAATCCTTCCTTCAGTAAGCCCCCAGCTGCGCGATAAAGTACTGTGTCAAAGAAGTGCAACAGCGGTATGGTAGGAATAACTATACTCCGCTGTCTTGCATTGGTGAGACAGCAGTTGTTCAAGCTTACAAACGCGACTTGCTTGTCAAGCTGGACCGACTGGCTTTGGACTCGAGATGAAGGTTTTCATACCACAAACAGAGCTGCAGAGGCCACACAAGACCGGATACCCCGAAAGCCGCTGGAGTCCCGAATGGCGAGCTGAAGCTCCGCTGGAGCAGATCGCCGCCTTCAGCGGGCTTCAGGATTCATTGGATCATGTACTCTCCAGGACCTCACGGAAGAGCAGCCCGTGCTTGCGCCGAGCTCCAACCCAACACAGAAAGGGTTCCGGCAATGAGGCTCGCTAATGCAATCTGCGCGCAGCTTAGCTGTTCCAAATGGGACTACAAAATTCCGTCGCTTTGATGAAGTCATTAAAGCTTCCGCTACCGTACGAGGCCTGCATTACGATGGTTGTCTCGCCATTGCTTGCGTCACTGCTTTCCTGCTGCCACCCAGAAATCCGAAAACCCTCAGCGACTGCTGGCAGCCTGAGTCTCGCGGGGATCCAATGAGGCTGCAGACGTTGGAAGCTCCTTCACACAGCGACTTTCCGATGAAGCGGGGGGGCTCTGCAGTGCTCGCAAGGGCTGAGATCTGCGGGGGTTGGGGGTTCCAGTTTCAAAACTTCAGATCGGAAGTCAGCACCGGAGCTACTTCGTGCCTTCAGTTGTATGAAGGCTGATGAACTAGCGAACGGACCCAGCACGCCCCCGCGTGCTGACAGAAATTCACAAAAGACAGAACTCCTTTTACCTCGTCCGCCTTCAAACGCGGTTGTGCCGATGCCTCTTGGCCCTCTCTTGGCACAGCAGGACAGGAAGAAACCTGCGAGACATCGACAACATGCACATGCAACTGTAAGGGGCTTCACTCCGTCTTGGAGCTCCGCCGGAAGCGGCTCTGGGCCGCATCTCGTTTTGGGACGGGGTCTGGCACATTCAGCGCCAAGACGATCACGGCGGCATTATCTGCCTTGGTTGCCTTCCCTGCGGCTTCAACCACAGCTTTTGCAGCCTCTTCTGGAGACCGCGTCTCGCGAAGCACTTTCCTCGCAGTCGTCGCGGCCGTCTGCGATTGAATTCCCGCAGCAAGGAAAACGCACTCGGTATTGTCCGTTACTTGGATGGCTGTCAGCTCCGGTCTGCTGATCAGACGTCCAGGATGTCGCCGAAAGCCCGGGAAACCTGCACCTTGCCACAACTCCACCGTCACTCCACTCTCTGCCAGGCGCTGCTTATCGGTCTCTTTCTCCTGTGAGTGGTCCGTCGTAGTGATCGTCACCGCGGCGTGGTTTGCGAATCGGCGATTTGCCGATTCGCAAACCACGCCGCGGCAATCGCCCAGATTTATCAACAGAAGCTCCTTCTCTTGGAGAATCTTGGAGAGGGGCCACACACACCGGTGACCCTGAGGACATCACTTTGGCTTCCTCAGCCAGTTCTGGCTGCATGAGCATCTCGACGACATGGAAGGCGTTCATCACAGCCTCCAAGCAGCTTGATCTTCATCTCCAGCAGTCGACTTCTGGAGATGACGATCAAGCTGCTTGGGCAGCAACTCCTGCGCCCGCCGGGCAGCCTTGTCGCCACCGTGGCCGTCAAAGACGGCAAGGCACTTGTGCCCTGCCACGTTTTCCTCCATGGAGACAGCATCCTCCATCCTCGCCCTATCATTCTTCGCAAGAGCAAAGCCGTACTGGCTGTTGCCGCCGCTCCCATACTCTGGCAAGCCGATCCGCTCCTTGTCCCGCACGCCACAGCAATCGCACAAATTGCCCATGGCTGCCGTGCGCAGAGTACAGTGGTTTCAAACGTATCGAAAGGTGCCCGGAGGCTGCGCAGTCATATCTATTCCACTATGAAGCAACTTTGTTTATTAGAGCTCCTGTTGGATGCTTTTGTATCTCTGACATTTTTCTTGCTGCATGGAGCTCTGTTTCCGAGCCGCAGTCAGGGGGCAACCGTCGTCAACGAACAGCACAAGGTCTCGAAACCCTTCCTTCAGACAGCCGCCGGCTGACTATGCACGGGCCCACGAAAATGGACCGGCTTTGGACACGAGGTGGGCTTTCATAACTTGGCAGAGCATTGTTCAAAGCGCGCCCACAGCCACGCAAGACCGGACGCCTTGACACGAAGCCAGGTGGTGGAAGCGAAGTTTCCCCAGAAAGCAGCTGGAGTCCCGAAGCGAGGAAGAGCTGAAGCTGCGCTGACGTAGATCGCCGCCTTCAGTGGGCTTTCTTTGATTGACCCCGCGCACCGAGATCAGGGCAGCTTGCGGTAGCGCGGTAGCCTGTGCTTGCGTCCAACACCAACAAAAGCACAGCAGGGGTTCTGGTGGTTTTGTTCCGAAGCGAGGGTGACTAATCGCATCAACTAGCATCATTAAACGGAGTTTGCTGCTGCTATGTCCATTGAGCACCATTTTGCCGGTACATAGAGGCATGCGGAGGCACTTGAATTCCCACAGATACTCCACTAAGGATTTCCCTTCGCATGCAACATACAGACCAGATTCCTCAAGCTGGCCCTTTGTCACAATTTCTTTTCACCGGATGCACGGCCTCAGGGTTCCCGAAAGATGGATCGGAGGTCGAGGTTCTCTTCGTCGAGGCTCCTATGGTGTCGTTGGGGGGCATGCATGAGCCCTCAGATGCCTGGAGTGCGAGAGAAGGATCAGGCTCAGTTACAACCTCTAGCATGAGATCCACAACCATCCATGAAGTTTCAAGCAGCTCCTTGTTCCAATTACAGCATAATTGGCCCCAAGACTCTATTCTGATTCTAATTCTTAAGGCCCCCATCGCAGGCAGGTCCTCTGATCCAGATGGCTAGCAAGAGGAGGCCGACAGCTATGTCGGTTCACCAGTCTCGGCTCTGCGAAGGTCACCTGCGACCAGTGAGCTCCAGGGAGAGGGCTAAACCCTCAACCCTAAACCCTAAATCCTAAACCCCTAAACCCTAGACTTACTTAAAGTACCTCTCATGCATGCATCCGAATTTCAATCTCCCGGCCGGGTTCAAGATGCAGGCCAACAGCTAACAAAGAAGCTCCAGCACCAGCGGAACTAGATTCATGGCCATGAAGGCCAGAAGCTTCAATGGGAGTAGAAGTAGTAGTAGTAGTAGTAGTAGTAGTAGTAGTAGTAGTAGTAGTAGTAGTAGTAGCAGCAGCAGGAGTAGTAGTAGTAGTAGTAGTAGTAGTAGTAGTAGTAGTAGTAGTAGTAGTACTAGTAGTAGTAGTAGTAGTAGTAGTAGTAGTAGTAGTAGTAGTAGCAGCAGCAGGAGTAGTAGTAGTAGTAGCAGCAGGAGTAGTAGTAGTAGTAGTAGTAGTAGTAGTAGTAGTAGTAGTAGTAGTAGTAGTAGCAGTGCTACCACTATTACTGCTGCCACTACGACAACAACAACAACTACTACTACTACTACTACTACTACTACTACCACCTGAAGATTGAGAACATGCCTCACCACTCGGAGAATGCTCTGCCAAGATTCAGGGGCTAAGCATCTTCCGCATGGGCACCCTGAGCCAGCCTTCATGAGCTCAGTAGCCATGAACAAACCTTGAACCCCTGAAAAAAACCCTAAAAGCCTTACAGATCCCTAAAAGGAACCCTTCTGGATCCCTTTCAAGGAAACCCCTCAACTTCTCCCCGGCCTCGAGGCAGCTGCCGAGCTCCGGATCCCGGCAACCAGGGTTGGGATGAACGTGCACCACCACGAAGAGGGAGAGGAGGTTCCTGAGTTTGGAAGGTTTTGGGTTCTAGGTATGAGAAGGGCTGTGGGGTCCCTGAGTTCCCAGAAACCACAAAGTGGAGCTGCATATTACCTGTCGGCCAATTTTTCTGTAAAAGACCTTGAACAACTTAAAATGTACTTGCATTCGCCGAATCGCTTCAAAGCTCTCTGGTGCACCACGTGGAAGCTCTCAGGGATTGGGATCCGTAGAAACGGGAAATGAAACTCGACGACCTCACAGCAAGAGGCCGCACTGATTGCAGCCGAAAGTTGCGTCGACAGACCCATAGATCAAAGACATCGTTTTGCCTTCCTGCTACAACTCTATCACTACTAACCACTGGTACTGCTACTACTACTACTACTACTACTACTACTACTACTACTACTACTACTACTACTACTACTACTACTACTACTACTACTACTACTACTACTACTACTACTACTACTACTACTACTACTACTACTACTACTACTACTACTACTACTACTTACACTACTACTTACACTACTACTACCACTACTACTACTAATACGAACTACTACTACTACTACTACTACTACTACTACTACTACTACTACTACTACTACTACTACTACTACTACTACTACTACTACTACTACTACTATACGACTACTACTACTACTACTACTACTACTACTACTACTACTACTACTACTACTACTACTACTACTACTACCACGACTACTACTACTACTACTACTACTACTACTACTACTACGACTACGACTACGACTACGACTACGACTACTACGACTGCTACGACTACTACGACGACTACTACTACTACTACTCCTCCTACTACTACTAGTACTATTCCTATCACAAATGCGGCCGAGAGACAATCTGGGAGAACTTTTGCAGCAGCTTCGGCTCGGCTGTTGCGAAGACATCCCACTCGAAGCCCTCGATATCCACCTGTCGTGATCCCACTGATTCAACTCTGCCACCCACGATATTCCAGAACAAGCTCTCACCGAATGTTTGTCACAGGGGAACAGGCAACATCATACCATCAGTGGCTTCGCAGCGCGATGAATGCAGGTGAACCATGCAGCTCGCAGTCTGCAAGCCTTCTCGTTTGAGCGGTTTCGTGCAGGCCTTCTAATTTTATGAGATACACCCAGGCTGGTCACAAGCTCAGCGTCTTATCATTCAGCCCGAGTAAAGTTATCCCCTCCTTCAGCAGCAGACTGCGATCTGCAACGGCATGAGGATGGAATCCTCCGACCTTTGACCACGTGCTTGAAACTCGAACATTCAGGATCATTCAGGGTTCATGTGCTCCGCTGGTGTCATGCCAACTGCAGGCAGATTGGCATGCAGGAAATGCGCACAATTAGAGCGGCTGATCCTGTTGGGCTCGGGTGATATGCCAACACATGCAGCCACCAAACCAAGTCAAAAACTCCAGTAATGGCACTCCCGACTCTCTGCAGCACTATCACAAGGTGTGAACTGACCTTTGCAGTCGAGCAACGTGATTCCTCCAAAAGTGCTCCTGTAATGATCCGGAAGGCTTGTCGAAGAAGCAGCCAGGCGCGCTCAAGCACTCTGCTCGAAAATTCGTAGGTGGACACGTTTTTTGGCTCCGGCACTCAGCCCCTGTTGTATTGAAGCAATCAAACTGAAACAATGTGGCCCCAGTGCATGACGCAACCTCTTGGCCCCACTCGTCCCGCCCATCAATTCCAAAGGAATATGCCGCTGCCATTGTTACATTCTGCAGGTCACACAGAAGGTATCCTCCGTCCCCTGATGAACCGTATCGCTGCAAGGGACAGCTTCCACAAATCCAGAACATCCTCCGCCAAGCTTCCAGATCCGCCGGCGGATCCCTTCTCCCTACACGGCCTGTCTTCGGAGGATCATCCGCTGGCGTGGTAGCTTGCAATAGCAGAGCTGTGCAATTAAGCTGTCGTACGTTGTAGAAGTGCAAGATCGAGAGCCCGGCGATCACTTCCCATACCTGCAGGGCAACACCACGGGAACAGTCGCCATCGCAAGCGGTTAAGGTTTAGGGTTTAGGGTTTAACAACACATCAAAATAATCATGACCTCAACCACACGAGCAGACCTGACCTTGCACTCCGGGGAAATGCAAAGCTGGAGAGTGGCTTGCAACGGCCGCACTGAACAATTCTCGCCAGGCGCCCCTCTGCCAATTGAGAGAATGTGCTCCTGGACACTTTGCGGACATTGGCCACTCAAGTGAGCCCAATTGAAGGTAACATTGCGTAGGCGACCACCAGCAGATTGACACAAGTCCGGTTGCCACTCGGCTGCTTTGAAAGGAGTGCACCAATTGACGGTCTCGGACAATGCTAGCAGCATTCTGGCCTTGCTGGCAGTGCCGATGCAAGGAAGCTGTGCTACAGATTCCTCAAGCTCTCTTTCGCTTCGCACATTTGGAGATGCAACAGCCTGCGCACCTGTCAATTGCCACAGGATTCCGCCAGTCAAACAACAGTTCTGAAAAGACAGGCCACCCTCGCTCCAGCATGCCGGGTCCGGATGGCTGCGGCAACAACGATAAAAATCGAAGCCATCCTGCCAACAGTATTTGTTTCCGAATCCAAGTGTCGGCAACAGGTTGAAGCCCGCATCAAAATACGCCGTTGAAGGATTCAGCACACCATGCATGCAAGACATCTTCCCTATGTCTCACTCAACAAAAACGGCCTAGAGATGACCGCCTGCTAACGGTATCAGTCGGAGCGTGGCTGCAGGCCGACTCCTTAACGGGAAATACCATCCGAAGGCACCCCATGCTAAACAGAATCTCACGGCTTATCTCTTGATCTGCAGCCTTCTGAGCCGAATCTGATATCGGTCGGAGAGTCCATCGTCTGCCCCTCTACCCAGCAATTCAAAGGGTCGTGCGTGTCTATCTAGCTATCTACCTACCTACATATCTATCTCTTTCTGCGTGTTTATCTGTCTATCATCCTTCCAAACCCGTGCCGCTGTTCCCAAATCATCATGAACTCTTAGTACGCCTTTTTCCTTCCCGGATCTCCGCGAAAGACAGTTTTTGCTCACCTTTCTTGAAGACCATGGGCATCATCTTTGCCCTGTCGTAGACACATGCGGTCTCTTGTACAGTGTGACGACAAGAAAAGTTGCTAAAACACGCTGAAACTGCAAAGACGGCGGGGAAAAGAAGAATCGGCGCCATCATCATGACAATTGTCACCGTTCACAGTTGCATTATTGTCACCAGCATCCTGATCACGACAGTACTGGTCAGCGTGTTCGTCACAGCTGAAATCAGCTGAAGTAGCTATCACCAGCAACACCAGCACCATCAAACAAAGCATGTTGGCCATATCACATAACCAGCCATGGTGCCTCACGATAGTCATCAGAGCAGGCTTTGCTTGTCGAGTGGTCGGACATAGACCAAGCAGTCATGGTATCAGCTCGCACCAAGCACATCGTAAGAGGTCAAAGCAAAAGTCGTGAGGAGCTCGCACTTTTGGGAGCAGGGTATCACGGAAGCCAGAAAACCAGCGATCAAGAGAGGCACCGAGCTGAGGAAACGAGGAAACTATCCCACACACCTCGCTGACCCAACGCAGTCAGAATTAACATAATATGTGCTGCTACTAAAGGTGGTAGTGGCAGTACTAGTCGTCGTCGCCATAGCCGTAGCAGTAGCAGTGGCAGTGGCAGTGGCAGTGTTAGGTAGCGGTAGCGGTAGCTAGCGGTAGCGGTAGTCGTAGTGGTGGTAGTGGTAGTGGTAGTGGTAGTGGTAGTGGTAGTGGTAGTGGTAGTGGTAGTGGTAGTGGTAGTGGTAGTGGTAGTGGTAGTGGTAGTGGTAGTGGTAGTGGTAGTGGTAGTGGTAGTGGTAGTGGTAGTGGTAGTGGTTGTGGTAGTGGTAGTGGTAGTGGTAGTGGTAGTAGTAGTAGTAGTAGTAGTAGTAGTAGTAGTAGTAGTAGTAGTAGTAGTAGTAGTAGTAGTAGTAGTGGTAGTAGTGGTAGTAGTGGTAGTAGTGGTAGTAGTGGTAGTAGTAGTAGTAGTAGTAGTAGCAGCAGTAGCAGTAGTAATAGATGATGTAGGTGTAGACGTAGATGCGGATGCAGATGTTAATAAAAAGGGTGTTGTTGTCGCAGTAGTCGTTGTCGCGGCTGATACTGTTGGCTTGCCGTCGTGGCTGTTGTTGAAGTTGGTGGTGCTGGTTCGGGCGGTTAGGCATCATTCTCGACCCGTCGCGTCGAAATCATTGAAGACGATCAGTCTGATGAAGACGCAGCAGGGGAATGTAAAACCTCTGCATAAGTGCGTTGATGAGCTTCCTCAGCGGATATCAGCGGATTCGGTCAAGCTGTGAATCGACAAGGCATTGGCGCCGGCCTTTCCCTTTCCTTTCCGGCTGCGCTGCCGCTTCTTTCCCTGCATGAATCATGAACCCCTCCCAGCTTCTGCAAACGGAGCATGGTTCTGTCAAAATGCACGAGACGCACTGTTTTGTTGGCCGGTGCATGCAGTATCGCCAAGATTCCAAAAACTACTCAGAGCCCTCATTACCGGTGAACCCGAGAACCATAGGTGCGAAGCCGAAAGCCTGGAGCAGCAGAGTGCCGGATCGCTCGCCTTGCCACCTTTGTCGCCTTTATCACCGCTTCGAGGCTGCTCCAACCTGCTTGGAAAGTTCCGGGTCACCAAGTTTGCGGATCCAGAGAAAGTTATGAGGCGTCGATGTGTCGGATAAGTCACATGGGGTTCGGGCTTGTGCACAAGTGCCACGTCAACGGCCAGTAGAGGCATGACCAAAGTCATCTCAGCAACAGTGGAAGCAGCAGCGAAGGTGGCGGCACGGTAGTCGCTGTCACCAACAACCGCTAAGGTCATTGAGTCATTGCCATACATATGAATCCAATGGTTTTGAACTGCTACTGTCTAAGCTGATGAAAGCTTTGCAAACATATGGGAGTTTCCGAAAATCAGGGGGTACCTTATTTTGGTGTCCTTATAATAAGGATCCTACTATTTAGGGTACTAGATTAGGCTCCCCTATTTTCGGAAACTCCCATATGATGACCACGGATACCACATTATCCCAGCATGATTCTGGCATGCACGTTGCCTCGAGTCACGGCTCAGAGGCTGCTCGGACTGCCTCGGTTTTCCGTTGATTTGTTCGAGATCTAACTAGAGAACCCAGAGAGCCCAATACCCCTTAATAAAGGGATATAGCTCAAATCATATTATCAATTCCCTTAGAATTTCAGGTATATTCCTTAATTAAGGTGTATTGGGCTCTCTGAGAAGCTCCTTCGCGACAGAGGACCAAGGCCGGGACGGGGAAGGCTCCAGCGCAAAACCTCCGTGTCTGATTAGGACCCTTTGCCTGATCCCACGTCCGCCCCGCATGTAAGTCTCTAGTAAGTCTCTCACGATCAGCACCGGAAGCAGCCGCAGCCCACCTAGGAAACGGAGGAGGAGGAGGAGGAGGAGGAGGCAGGAAGGTCCCAGATACATGCGCAACGATCAAAAAGAAGATGTCCTGGTGGATTGATCGACAAAACCCACTGCCAAGTATACATCCCGTCGAGTTGCTGAGCCTACTACCACCCAAGATGACTCCATTTTGCATGGTCGGACACTGCGCCTGGACACTCTCAAGTCCCTTGGTGGCCCTTGCTTGCTGAGCCTTTTGCTTACTCTCGTTGTCCAAGGCTTTTCGGAGCTTCTTTCGCTGCGCATCGCGCTGGCAGGTTGTACGAAGCCGGGAAGGATTGCATGACGCCCCGCATGTCACTGCTTTCAGCACAAGTCCAAGCGTGTCAGCAACACCCAACTTGGAGGAGCTTTGGTCAGCAATTGCGAGACTCCTTCGACCTCGCAACATGCCAAACTCGGACACAACTGCAAAGATGGCACTCAGCACTAAGCTCCGCCTGGTGCGTGTTTGAGGCCGGGACATGTGCGGGAGTACCACCGGATGAGCGCAGCACCTGCAAACCATGTAAAGAAGTTCTGGTCAGCCCCCAACTGGCTTCAGATGGTGACGAGGGTTCGAGTCTGCCTTCGTACATGCACGTAACCAGAGACAGATGTATGTATGCCATATTCATAAATGTATGTCTTTGTGTATGTATGTGGAAGGGCTCAGAACACGGGCGACAGCGCCTGATTGCTGTAGCCCCAGGCCCCCACGCCACGGCCCTTCGGGGAAGGGGGGTCGCCTAGCAGAACAAAGGCTCGTCGGGCCAGGGCATCTGGATCATTGTCCAACAGATAACTGGCAACTATATTAGCTATATGATGGCGATCATGGGCGCAAAGGTCACACTTTGGAAGGTGGCCATGTTGAGCATTTGTTCGGAGGACATGCGCGTACTCCACGGCAGAGGAATTTGTGACTGGCTTCTAGAAGAGGCTGGCTTTTCAGCTGCGCGGCATCAAGAAAAACAGAGGCTCATCAGGCGAGGGCATCTGGAACACCAAACGGCAACCAGGCAGCTCATGCATCTCGCCCGACTGGGTGGCACTCACGCACGCGAACGGCAGGCAGCGCAGGGTGGCAATATTTGACATATAGGTTTACATATAGGTTTCAAAGAAGATGTCGGCTTTCCAGCTGCGCGGCATCAAGCTGAACAGAGGCTCGTCAGGCGAGGGCGTCTGGATTATCACGCGGAAACCTGGCAACCACTGCAAGTCCTATGGAGAGGGTGATGCACAGGCGACGAGGACTTCGATCTGATGACCTTGACTCCGCTACCCTGACTTAGCAGTTTCTGAGTAAATAAATGATGCCAGAGTGCTTTATCTTTGAGTGTGGAGGTCCTATGGCCTTCATGCTGTTGTTGAGTTTGATGTCCCAATATCACCTCGATGAAGGTGTTTAGACATCCGCGGTATCTTAAACCGTGTGGGGACTCATCGGATACCATGAGGAAGATCCTGCACCTCTTACGGTCCGATTTGTGGATCGTATCATGTTTGGTGCTTTGATCACCGATTACGGAATACGAAGCACCTTTTGTTTGCCGTGCATTTTCAGGCATCGTCCATGTGCCATTGGATTGATTTTGTTGAAGGCGCGGGACAGCCTTTCCTTCGCTGGATCGACCCCGTTTCCTAGTGCGAGTTCACACTGGTGACCGTCAGATTACCGGTCCGCACTAAGCAACTTAAATTAGTGCATGGGGCTGCGACCTCATGGACACAATGCCCAAAAGACGTGATGCATATTGAAGTAAGATGAGGTAAGTTGGGTAAGTCTACCTACCTGAATGATCCTGTATGGCTGCACATGTGTACCTACAGAAATAAGTCTGTGCGCAAGTATATAACGCACGTAACAAATACACATACAGGCATACGCATACACCCACAGACAGACAGACAGACAGACAGACCGACCGACCGACCGACCGACCGACCGACCGACAGACAGACAGACAGACAGAGACAGAAGCAGGCAGGCAGAAAGACAGAATCGACTCCATCGGGGTCCGATTGATGTTTATCGGCAATCTTTCTTGAATTAACAAGTGCTTGGAGGGGATCTTTTTGGACTGCCTGCAAACGAACACCACGTGTATTGAAGTCTGCCGCCCGGAAACCAAAGTTTGGCAGTTTGGCCAGCAACATCCTACAAGTAAGCCACAATCACGACAGCGAGAGTTGTTTGGAAGATCATGAATTCAAGCGCGGAGCTGTTGTTGAAGACCCGATTGCTTCAGTGACACACTCGGCTAATTGCAGGGCATCATGGCAGCATGCACAAGCACAAGCCCTGAATTGCTCGTGTATCGCAAAACTTGATACTGTACTTATCGACTCGGGGTCAGGATTCTATGCTTCGGATTGTGCGGCCTTGACCACCTCTACGTGGCCCATGCGCGTCGCCAGCTGGACAGGGGTCTCCCCTCGTCCTGTCGAAGGCGATCGGAAGTAATCCGAGTGCTGTGGGCGAGATAGTTAGGTAGTTAGGTGTTTCGCATGACCCCAATCCCCTTCCTTCAAGCAGACAGATTTACATGCTCGAGAGCCAAACCTGTGAGTGCCAGCGGATCAGAGCCAGCATGAAGCAGTGCAGCTACCACGTCCTGGCAGGAGCAGGTATTGATGTGAAGCAGCTAAGACCGCTGAGCTGACCTGCACGAGACTTGCACTAGAAGTTCCGACATGTGGCTTCTCTGACGCCGTCGTGTGAGAGCACGGTTTTTTGGCTTCAGCTCTTCACCCTGATGCTCAGCGACATCTCATCGACTGCCCTTTCTAAGAACATGAAGAAGGATCGCCTCGATGCACCAGAAACCTTCAACTCCCCATCCTGAAGTCCCCAATCGAAGCCATCCCTCTTCAACTCCTCGTGGCCGCGGACGGCAGCAACATGCAGAGCCGAAGCGCCAGTGCCCACCTTGCCGTGGGCGAGTCCAGCTGATAATTTGACTGGTCTAATCTGGAACATGCCGGCAATCTCTTTCAAGTTGAGATCCCGTTCGGCTTCTAAGTCCTAAGTCTGACTTCCCTGCGGCCCGCTCTGGTCCTAGAGTTGCAAAAGACAGACAAGCGAACTGCCGCGCGTTTTGTCAAAGACACCAACTGAATGAGCTTCCAGCGATCTTCTGAGGCCCCCTGCGCCGTCCAAGTCAGCCTTGGTCCGGACATTCACATCAGCACCTGCACATCAGGTTCCAAGGACGTGCTCGAACCCTGAAGTCGTATCAGGTTCAAGGTAGTTCTAGTTCCACATCCTTCACAAGACGTGCGCCTTTGGCAACGGCCTTCGTGCAGGAGGCCACGGAACCTTGATGGGCGCCATAGAACAGCTCTGACCTTGTTTTGTTGGCATGGCATTCAGGGCATCGTCTGCTTTCATTACGGTCTCTGTCTGCGTGTCTTCAACAAACAAAGTGTTTGAAGAAGGCCTTTTCTGTGCCAGAGGCTGCCAGAGCGAGATCAAGGTGTGTGAGTTACGAGATCCGGTTGAGGGAGGCTTCTTTCTTATGCCTATAGGGCTGAATGGCTACTGGCTACTGCTCTGCAGGGTTGATGGTGCACTGAAGTGAACCTCATGCCCGGCACAAAGACAGGTACCCAAACCCTTCTGCTGCATGATAGCCATCAGCACCTCAAACATTCCTATTCTGCGGCCGATGCCCGTCAGAAGACCAAAACGTGTCCAGATTCCCAATGCTCAAGAATAGCTAACCATGCAGAATACGATCCACTTCAACTCCAAGAAACTGTAACTGTAGGCAATTCGTCCTTCCGCAGCTTTCTTTTTACAGGTCTCTTCCACTTAAGGGCTGTCCAACATGCACTCAGAAGCACAAGGACTGAGCTCAAGGCTCCACGTCATCCAACAGCACGCCAGGGGGCTTGCGCTCAGCCCTCGGGAGCTGTCGGGTGTTCTGCGGAAGCTTCGACGGACGGGTGCAACAAAGACGTACGATCGAAGCAGAACCCGAAGGTCCTTAGGCCTTAGGGTTAGAGAGAGCAGCCAGGCCGACAAGGCCCACGCCGATTTCGTGCTTTTCGCTTGGCGGCAGCTGAGAGGCAGAGAACCTACGACCAGAAACGATGGCTTTGGTGCACTCCACCTCGTCGCTTGTTACTTCATGCACAGGGTCGGATCATGCAGTGTTCTATCCTGGTCCCTGCTGCATTCGCACAGCTTCGAAAGATGTCTCTTTACATCCCCTTTGCTATGACATACCATGTTGACTGCAGCGTCGATGGCCGTGACTTGTATGGTGCCCACCAGAATCCTTCACCATCCGTCATTACACCGCGGCGCCTGCGGCGCCTGGCCATTGGCCAGTGCTAGCTCCCGGTTCTCACGACGCCGGCGCAACAGCCTCAAGTCGACTCCAGCCATTCAGTGATGGAGGGGAAATGATGCGGGTGCGTGGAAGAAGGGCGACTGTCCAACAGCACCCATGAGATATGAGTAGGTCACCCCACGTTTGCATGGTAGGGTAGTGCATCTGCCCGGGAAGGCATTATCCACGTGACTGGGCTATGCCGATGCCTGCCTCCACGGATTGGTGGCAATTTAAGGTTTCGGACTGGGGCAAGGACGTCTTCCTGCTCTCTGGCAGCAAAACACCCTTGGTGGTGACCTGCCCGGATCCATCGGCACGAAGATTGACAGAGAAACGATAAAGCTCTGGGCCGGGATGACTGTCGGTGCATTTACCCTTCTGCGTAAGCGTCGCAACATGCCGAGCTCAAATGAAACTCCCACGGGCAGAAAAACAAAATTGTCGTATGTCCAGTGCCAGCTTATGACAAAGCGGAACCCATGCGCTCATGGCCAGCAACGACTCGCCTTGAGGCCAAGTTCGGCCAGAAGGTTTGGACCTTTCCGCTGAGACCTTCACAGAAGCAAGGGCTGCATCTGCATATCAAACATCTAAGCATGTCTGAAAGCTGCGCTAGTCATGCTGCACGACTAGTCAGTAGTCTCACCGCAGTGTTGAAGAGGCGACGGGCGTTTCTCAGGGCTGGGCTGTACCTTTGCAGTCTGCTTGTCAGGCAACTCATCTTTCGGCAAGTTCTCCGGCCTAGTCGATGCGTCCTAGTCGGTCTGATGGCAGACACAGTCAGAGCAGCAGCAGAAGCAACAGCCGCAGCGGCAGGAGCAGGAGCAGGAGCAGTGGCGGCAGCAGCAGTGGGAGTAGTGGCAATATGCTGTGTGTTTTAGGGACCTTAGAAATCTCAATCTTTTGGGTTTCGGGGTATCTCACAGCTTCAGCCCAACACACGCACAGCAAAAGGGGGGATCAACGGAATACTGATACTTAAAACGCCCCCGAGCACCTTCCTTGGAGCCTGGCGCCTCTGCCAGCTTCTCGGGTTTCTCGCTCTCCTCGTCTTTGGAGACCTTGGAGAAAGGGGGGGATGTTGATGGATGTTGTAGTAATTATAGAGTATGACAGTGATATTATGTACATATATATATATGTATAAATATATATATATATATATATATATGTATATATACCGGAATAGAGCAGAGCATTATTACATGCTGGATTTAGCGACAGCTTTTGCTTCGGCTGCCACGGACTCAGGAGCTCAAGCGGCAAAGGCACCTTCACGCCCGGCTCTGGCAGCTGCACAGGCCTCGGGCCGAACTCCATGCGTAACACAGCCCTGCTAGTCTTACCTTTGGTTAGTAGGGAATGGAAGAATGGTAGTAATAATAGTTATAATTGTACCCCATTCCTCCATTCCCTACTAACTAAAGGTAAGTAGTCGCTGCAGATGGGTCACATCCCCCGGGCTCATGGTGGTGATCACGATTGAGGCGTCAAGCAAATCGAGAACTCTCTACTCCATGGTTGCCATAGTCCCTGAAGGGCTGATCTACGTTATCCTGAGAACCTTGCTCGGGTGTTGGTTCGCACTTCTCTTGTGAATCCTCGGGGCAGGGAACATCAAAGTTCGGCGTGACCATGGGCGATGGCCTACAGCGGCCTACAAAGCAGAACAAGCATCTTCGACAGAACCATCGCCTTCAGTACCCCTTCTGTCACTGCATCATGCCAAATTTGCTGATCTTCAGCCCAACTGTTGCGCGCACGCTTATCATCAGGAAGGCAGGCGTGAAAAAACAACTGATGGCCCTGGAACGTGAGGCTGAAGAAAGGCTGAGACACGTTAGGAATCCGGTCCTCTCGTTTCGCTGCCTCTGCTGCAGGCGGATCGGCCGATGTTCCGCCATCCGCCATGAAAATGGGATTCTGAATGTAAGGCTCAGGGAAGTTTAGCGTAAGATTGCTTGAATCCGGAAGAATTCTGCTGCCATAGAGGCGTCGAAGGGCTCGTAGCACGTCTTGCAGACTATTCAGAACTGCCTTTCTTTCATTCCATTTATCTAGCTGCCAACTGTCTGATTGTTGGAAAGTGCTGAGTGCTGTCCTTCCGTCTTCTGCCAGCGGAATTGTTTTGGGATGCTTGAGGTGTCTTAGTCACGCAGCGTCGCTGATGGATTTTTGTGCAGCTCAGTGACTGCGTGATCTGCAGCCTTAATAGAAACTAGCCTGATGCTTGCAGCTCGTGGTATCTTCACACGGCCAGACTCCGGCACTTGCCTTTTTGCTTGCTACATGATTCTACACAGCCTGGATTGTTCAAGGATGGCTGGGAGTGAGAACCCGAAAACCCAAGCCTGGGCCGGCTTGCGCCCAGGATACGTCCGAGGGGAGCACGCAACAAAGCATGCAATCTAAAATCTCGGACAGCCCTGGACGTTCAAGCGACGTGCCCGACTCTCAGCCTTCTATAGGCGGAAGCACTTCACAGTTTTCGGGGGTTCCTGCAAGGACTCACCATCCAGTAGGATTGGATGCTGCTTCACCGCCCACATGGAAGGCCCTTGGGAGTAGTCGCTGCGTCCATAGTCGGACGCTGGCCGCGGACTTGTCGATGAGGCAGAACCCACATCGTGACATTCACAGCGTCGTAGATGGGCTTTATCACAGTATCAAGCTCAAGCTGCTACTTACAGTTTACAGCCCTGGCGCGAAATAGGACTGGCATGAGTCAACACGACAGCTTAGATGCCTGGTTAATGCTGCCATGGCCCCCCATCTGAGCACGCCCCTGAAATCCTGCAGAACTAGCGACTCACATCTTATTAACCCTCGACGGTACACAACGTCCTTGAAGAAACCCTCACATCAGCAGACGCTGCACTGCAGATGTGGTGAAGAGAACACGACATTCCTCTAAAGTCCTGAATAGCTGATCACAGTGTACCAGAGTTACCAGAACTCATTATGAGACAAGTCAAGAGCCGCATTTTTGCGTCGTTGGACGATGGTCCCTCATATCTACAAGACACGCATGTAAGTGCTTGCCACTGTGGGATCTGCTCCTTCCAAAGAGTTCTGGGGCACAGAAGACCGCAAAGCCTCGCAAAGTTTGGCCATGGTTTTTTCAACCTCGGCAACTGATCTCCAGCCAAAAATCTCCTCGAGAAGTCATCGGGCTGGAGGCGTTCGCAAGAACGTCAGCTTCCTGTAAGGATCTGCGGGGCAGTCACTTCTGCCATGCCCATTCCTGAGACATCACTGGGCACAACAACGACCCGAATCATCATTCCGACATGCGGGGCCTAACCGATCCGAGTGTCTTCTTCCTTTGCTTCCGATCTCTCGACTGCAGAAACACTCTCATGTATACACAGATACGTACATTGACATGTAGCTGCATACGCATGTACACATGAGAGCGTGTACGCACGCAGTATGCACGACTGCACGTGTGTATGCACCCTGCATCGATAGGACACCATTCCCGGAAGAAAATGCAGAAGCTTTGACCTCGTCGCTGTATGCCATTGTGATGTATCCGGAATCTGCCTGAATCTGTTCCAAAAACTTTTGTGCAGGCAGATGGCATGCGCCACGAGGGAGTCGAGAGGATCGACACAACTATAGTCTACAGCAATAAGCAGGTAAAGAAGTTTAGTTGGAGAGGACTGGATCCTGCACACCAATGCGACATGGAGTGGGTGCAGCCGCAACGTAACGGGGCCAAGTGAATCATAAGAACATCACGCTTGGATAGAACCCTGAGTGTTTGTAAGACATCACGCTTGTTCATTCATTAGGATCATTAGGGTTGCTGGACTACTAACATACAGTAGCACTAATTGTACAAACAGTAAGCGCTGGGAGTAGAAGTGTTCATGATGTGTTCCGTCTTGTCCCTCGTGTGGTGTGCTTCCGGGTGCCACTGACAACGCCACGAGTGTTGACTCCAGCTCAGTTGCAGAAGCCGACTGACAATGAGCTTCAAAAACATGTCATAACGACAGCTCCTTAATATCAGAAGTTATACCAGTAAGCAGCCATCGTAATACTGGCTGAAGTCTATCCGGGCAGCCCTTTGTGAGTTCGCCTTCTGCGAAGAGCCTCTGCTTCGGGTGCAATGCCTTTCCATGGGAAGAGCCCCGAACGAACGGAAGCTGAGCCTGGTGGCGCTGCAATAAGAATGGCAAGAAAGAACGGTGGTAGTAGTAGTAGTAGTAGTAGTAGTAGTAGTAGTAGTAGTAGTAGCAGTAGTAGGAGTCGGAGTCGGAGTCGGAGTCGGAGTCGGAGTCGGAGTAGGAGTAGCAGTAGCAGTAGCAGTAGCAGTAGCAGTAGCAGTAGCAGTAGCAGTAGCAGTCGGAGTAGTAGTAGTAGTAGTAGTAGTAGTAGTAGTAGTAGTAGTAGTAGTACTAGTAGTAGTACTAGTAGTAGTACTAGTAGTAGTAGTACTAGTAGCAGTACTAGTAGTAGTACTTGTAGTAGTACTAGTAGTAGTACTAGTAGTAGTAGGTAGTAGTACTAGTAGTAGTACTAGTAGTAGTACTAGTAGTAGTACTAGTAGTAGTAGTAGTAGTAGTAGTAGTAGTAGTAGTAGTAGTAGTAGTAGTAGTAGTAGTGGTAGTAGTAGTAGTGGTAGTGGTAGTGGTAGTGGTAGTGGTAGTGGTAGTGGTAGTGGTAGTGGTAGTAGTGGTAGTGGTAGTGGTAGTGGTAGTGGTAGTGGTAGTGGTAGTGGTAGTGGTAGTGGTGGTAGTGGTAGTGGTAGTGTGTAGTGGTAGTGGTAGTGGTAGTGGTAGTGGTAGTGGTAGTGGTAGTGGTAGTGGTAGCAGTAGCAGTAGCAGTAGCAGTAGCAGTAGCAGTAGCAGTAGTAGTAGTAGTAGCTAGTAGTAGTAAGAAGCATCATGAGACCAACAGGAATAGGCCAAGAATGCGAATGATAAAAGCAAGAATGATAGGATGAAGCAGAATCCTGTTTCTGGAGATCTGACCAGGGTTGCTAAGGGTAACGCGAGCTGGCATCCAGTTCGCCAGGGTCATTCCCACGGATTGTGCGTGCACCCAGCCGTGCAAAGAGTTTGGGGGAAAGAAATGGCACGAAGCCAAGGACAAAGAATCTGTGTTGGCCGGGGGTGTTGCTGCTGCGCCAGTGAAGTCGCAAGCGGTTGAAACAATTCCAACATCCCGCAGCAGGTCCGTGAAGGTTTTGGACTCGGACCACAAGCTCGCATGCTAACAGGAGAGAGTCAAGGCTGTGGACTACCCAACACGTGTATACTGAGCTGTCTTAAAGCTGTGGCTTGCCGCATCAGGAAGGTCAGCAAAAGCTGAGGTGCGGCTCCATACAGCGATTGGAAAACGCGGGCTTGCACAAAAGGCCAGAACAGACACGATGCCAGGGGTCCCACAGTCCAAGTATGAGCATATTAGGCAAGCCTACACCTGTGCTGATGCTGAGAGTACTTGCTCTTGGCAAACTCATGAACTGCGCTGCTGCATGTCCCACTTGCTCTCGCAAGATGTTCTTGTGCTGTTTGCAGGACCAACTGGCTTCCATGCGCAGAAGCTAATCTCAATGACATGGCTTCCGCACAAGACTCGAGTCCTGCATGCCTACCGTGTGTACATGACATCATGTGATGTACCTGCAAACGTACTTGCAATGCAGTTACCGTTTGAGAACATGTCAGAACCAGTCCCACGGCTTCACGGCACGAAGGGCACGATGCACCGGGCCCAGGCAAGTCTGCAACTCTTGGCAGTCCTGAGCCAACCACCTCGTCTTAAACTCTTCAAAGGTGGCACGACCATGGATGAGATCGTCTCAGTGACGCCTCTTCCGGGTGTTTGCAGCATCGGCATAGAGCCACTGCAGCAATGATACTCTCTCTCTCTCTCTCTCTCTCGCTCTCACTTCTTGCTACTATTTCTCTGAGTGTTGCGGAAGTGTACTTCTATCTGGGTGGCCCTATCCCGACCTCCAGGCCCTGGGCGCTGCACACGGCGAAGATCTGGAGAGCTCGGGCTCTCAGGACGCTCAGGAAACAGACTTTCCTTCCAGAAACCCTGTGGGCTGAGAGGATTCTGGGTCTGTATAGTCTTATATTATAGTAGATTAAAGTATATTACAGTTTATTATGGTATATCATAGCACATTAATCCCTTCCCCCTAATATTAAACCCCGTTTTCCCCAACCCCCCTCCCTAATATAAAAACTGGATTTCGGTGCCGGGGGGTTTTATTATTAGGTGGGGGTTCGGGGCATCTGGGTATGAGCCGAACTGAGAGTAGTAATGAGCCACCGTCACGCAGCCGTTCCGGCTGTAGAGCAGACAGTCCCGCCCTAAATCATAAAGCCCTATACCCTAAAGCCCCACAGCCCGAAAGCCCTAAAGCTTAAGTTTTAAATCCCTAAACCCTAAAGCTCTGTAGTGCCGTAGTCCTTGGCTCTAGCTCCATCAAAACTGATCAATCCCAAGCCCCCCCTAGTGTTTTGAATTAACTTTCAATTGTGGGCCCGCAACCGCGAGATTCCAGGGGCCGGGAGTTTTTATATTGGGGGGTGGTTTTAATGCTAGTGGGAAGGGATTATAGTATAATTATAGTCTTCTATTAGTCAGGAAGAGCCAGGTCCGTCTCTTCCAAGCGCCTGAGGATGCAATGTGCCCAAGCTTCTCGGAATCAGAATTTTCCGGGCCGGAACTGGGCCGGTGCAGAAAGCCCTATCTCCGGCCGTCGCGGGGGGGGGCTGTGGCTGGGGGTTGATATAGGGGTCCATTATACTATAATTATAATAAGGAACCCCCAAAATAATATAGGTAATTGTTAAGGCCCCGATATTAGACTGAGACCAGCTCCCGGACGGCCTTTTTGCAGTGGGGAAAAGGTAGCGGGTTACACAGAACTCGGTGTCTTAGCCAAAGGCCCATACCACTCTGGTGGTGCAATGAAAAGGGGCGGTGCCCTTTCGCGAGGCAGAAGCCGCCGGAAGAGGGTTTTCGAGTCTGTTGTACCTTGGAGTTTGAGCCTTTTTCACGGAGATTCAAGAGACTTATGACCGATAAGGCTACCAGTACTGCCTATGAATAGCTCCGACGGCTTTGTCTGCAGACTACCGAAAGGCAGCTTTGCAAACGCTCGCTGCCTCAAGAGATTGTGGCAAAGACTCTTGGCATTGCATATACTTGTGCTTAACGCACACGTGTGATGTTAAACGTTTCTTGGCATCAGTGCAAGATGCACTGGGCGCACGGCAAAAACCTACAGAATGGCAGGAGTACCCAGCTGTGCATCTGTGTGATTGAAGTCAAGTGCTTTGAGAGGAATTGTAGGGTTGTCCAGACTCAATCACACGGTGCCACACCTCCTGTTTCGGAGCCCTCTTCATCCACGGCGGGCAAGAACGCCCATCCAGGTTGACCCTGCACCAACACGCACAAGCTTTGATTGCCCCAGCAAACTCCATACAAGCCGCGAGAAATAAACGCCGAACACTGCTCAGAAACGTCTGAGTGCTTGGCAATTGCTACAGGAGTGCTCCTTGGCAGGGCACAAAGGGGCTGAAGTTGCCACCGGCTGTTGCTGCACTGAGGTGATGGTGGGGAGCTATGGTCATAGTGGCAGCAGTGGTGCTAGTAGTAGTGGTAGTAGTAGTAGTAGTAGTAGTAGTAGTAGTAGTAGTAGTAGTAGTCGTAGTCGTCGTCGTGGTCGTCGTAGCAAACGTAGCAGCAGCAGGAGGAGGAGGAGGAGGGGGAGGAGGAGGAGGAGGAGGAGGAGGAGGGAGCAGGAAAAGCAGAAACACTAGCAACCAGTAGCAGCAGCAGTAGATCTACCGGCGTCGCGGAAGTTGTCCCAAAAAGTCGCATTAACAAGTTTATAGGAGCCAGCCACACATGGGTCGTGTAGTATCCGCAGCTAACGTAGCCGCAGCAGCAGGAAGAACAGCAGCGAGAGTAGTGGCAATGCAAACTTCGGCTCGTGCTGCCTAGACTCTTGCCAACTGTTTCGAATCCTACTGCAACCAATACCACCGTTTGCTTGAGAGCCATGGTGCTACTTGAAGCATGAAACACCCTCATGTTCTCCGGCTGGTAAGCTCTATCTCCTTCATTGGCTTCTGTGCTCATGTCACCCGGATCTCATGTCGCGAACCCTTCAAACAACCCTGCAATCCTCCCATCCTCTTTTCCTGAACCGCTGGGCTGAACATTTACGTATCCAAAGCGAAAGAGGAGAGATAGAAACCTTCGCAAGAACGAAGACAAGAGTCCGGTGTAGAAGTTCCAGAGCACTTCTCAATGCGGCCTCATCCACAGCTTGTGGCTTGTGGGGCAGGGGGCGCTTCCGTGATTTAAGGCAGCTCATTGCGAGTGGCTGTAGGCCTGCGAAGGCGTGACGTTCTGAGTTGGAGCATGACCCAGACGTCAGGATTAAAGCTGCGGAAGACTCTGCCCGATTCGAGGAGAGCTTTCCTGAGAAATGCACGATATGGCTTGACTGATCTTGTTTGTGGCATACGACTGACCAGACGAAAATGGCAGGCACGCAGGCCGCACGAAATCCGTCGTCCCTGGACGAATGCTGACAGAAAATGCATAGCAGCAATGGGGCTGGCAATGAACAGTGTGTAGTATTTGCAGTATTGACCATGAAGAGAAACTTCAGGAATCGAGCGTCACCCTCAATATCTCCCAGGACCATGAGTGGAGCATGTTCTGAGTTTAGGGAGCGGAAACTTGAAAGACCCGGCGGACTTTTTCATCTGGTCGAGCGCTTTTCCAATCGCGCCATCAGATCGCTGGCTGTCACGAGCTGGCACGAGTCGAAATCCGGCCAGTAGCTGTAGCCTGGGCCAATGCCAGACGGCCAATTCTGCAGCTTGCGTGATCGACACCCACTCGCACAAGCGGGAAAAGGATTTAGGTGCCGGCCATAGTCTGTAACAAGCTCCGTCCCCGCTGGCACGTCTTGCACCGTGCGGAAGTACAGGATGCTTCCCAGCTGGCAAATTTCCGTGTTTACCTCCGAGGTCATGCTGCAGACGAAGCAGCAGAAGATCCAGTGAGCAGCATGAGACTACCAAACGGTGAACTTTAGCTTTGGCTGCCGACCCGCCTGCTTGCACTGCTCTTCGTTAGCAGCTGCATTGACTAATCGGGCAGGGTTCTCCGGGTCATCAGCTGCGGCATCCATGCCTGACTGGACTGCGTGCACCGGCACTCAGCTCTTTGAATCGAGTCATGATCTCCACGGCCCCTAAAAGCAAAGACCCGCATAGACTGTGTGAAAGGGGCACTCTCACGACTTTGCTAACTGTAGACCATGACATGAAACCCTGAAACTTTGAAACAATGAGACGACCGCGACGCGTGATGACTTGGAGGTTCCTGTTTAAATAGAAGTTGGGATTATATTCGAGGAGGTGACAAGCGCTAAAACCTATGATTGCCTGGGTCATCAACTACTCTGAACCCTGCTTGCAAAATCCCAAACCCTAACCCCTAAACCCCCAAACCCTAAACCCCTGAACCCTCAGGGGTCCAGCTGCCCTGGCGACTTGCAGCCGAGAAGCAGAAAGCTGCCGCGGCGTCGCTGGGATTCTGCGGACACCAGACATAAGCGCCACCGCCTTGTCATGATCTTGTGCTGCCATGGTTACTAGAGCATCTAACCTGTACTAACCGTTCTTAGCCGTAGGATTGTGCATGATAAATGATGATGATTGTGTTATACAGTAGCGGAATGAAAGCAATGATGAAGCCGAATTGCTCCGGTGTTGACGACGACGACGACTCGGATGATGATCATGATGATGATGATGATGATGACGATGATGATACTGGTGGTGGTGGTGGTGGTGGTGGTGGTGGTGGTGGTGGTGGTGGTGGTGGTGGTGGTGGTGGTGGTGGTGGTGGTGGTGGTGGTGGTGGTGGTGGTGGTGGTGGTGGTGGTGGTGGTGGTGGTGGTGGTGAGGGTGGTGGTGAGGGTGGTGGCGGCAGCGGCGGCGGCGGCGGCGGCGGCGGTGGTGGTGGTGTCCGCTGACGACTCAGGGCTGTTGGGGCTGAAGCTGTCTACCATCAGATCAGCAGCTATTTCACAAGGGCACTGAGGAAATCTCATTGCAAGCTGCATCCCTCTCGCCTTAATGCTGCACCGGCCTAACCCTGGGTGTATCCCAAATTGCTGACTACCCACAGAAGCAACAAGGATGATCGGAATGAGCTACCTTGGAGCATATTGGGCCTTTTCAGAGTTATCTGGACTGGGAACGTTTTCAGCCCAGTCAGCACATGAACGAGAGCGGATTCAAAACACCTGCAAGCATGTCCGCTTGGCTTCCTGACATGACGCGACTCACCCGTTTGCATCCGAGATTCGAGTGACGGTTTGGAAGGTCTGAAGTTGGCCCTGTCAAGCCGTGAGTGGGGTGAGATCTCACTGCAGTCTGCAGTGTACTGTGCTTCCGACATATCAAATCAGCCTCGAAATCCCGTCTGTGAGATCAGCAATAGTGTGGCGACAATACGTGCTGCAACATGCAGGCATGTGAGTCCTGCTGAGCCTCTACCCTGCCAATCCTAATAGACACTCGGCACTACCAATCTGGAAGATCACCCCCTTGAAACAACGGTTCGAGTACACAAAATTTTGATGCCACAACTCCGATGACTGCAACAGGCGCTGCAACAATCTACATGACTGGGCAATGCAGGTGACCGCAGGTCAAACAAATCTTGAGGTTGTTGTGCCCGCTGTACGACTTCGGACCATAATGCATGAGCTCCACGTATCGCATGTACTACCTTGATTTGGGATTGACGGTAGAGACAAGCTCGTTTTTTTTATGCCTGTGTTTTGAATCACCTCTGCTTCAGCCCTCGGCGGCCTGAAGTCCGATCCTATAACTTCCTAACTCCTGCAGTCTGCAAGAGTGCCCCTGACCCTGGCATCCTGAGCCCCTGTAAGGCCATAAAACCCAAGAGTGCCCCTGTCCCTTACGCATGGCCTTGTATGGCGGCAGCACGGCCCCTTTGGCCAGAGCACGCCGCGCGAAGAGGCCCCGGCCGGCTCCTGGCAGCCTTGGTGGCAACGACAGAATGGATGCCGACGACATCCGAAGGCTTTTCTGCGATAGCTTGGGCGACAGCAACAACAAAATCGCGATTGCTAACTATGGACAGTCATAATCATCAAAAAAATTTATGCGAATCAGACCCTCGAGTTTTCGTCTGTTTCAAAAGGGGGCTCCTACGCACATGGAGTCACGGAGGGCTGACCCCTGTTGAGCTGAGGAACAGCGACTGGCCCGCCGAGACCTGCAAAGCGAGGCATGGGCCATGAAGTCTCTTGGGAATAATCGAATCTAATCATGTAAGCCCGAGCTACGAGAAGTTGCTATCTGCATTGATCTGCCTTGGCCTTAGCAGCGGAGTGTGCCGCAAACTATAACCCATACAATCTTTGCTACCATTCCTGCTGAGTTGAATAACAGATCAGCCTCTCGACATAGGGGCAGCGATAAGTAGATGCCTGGTCTTTTTGCACTGGGCGCCACTGGGGAGCTTCCGCAGTTTGCCAGTCCACCGCAGCCGCCCAGTCGGATACCCCTGGCCGCTGCTCTTCGGGGCTCAGAGTGCGTTTAGTACGTTTTACTAGCACCTGGAAGTTGACTGAAAACCCGCAGTCCCACTGCCAACCTCGACTTTTCACTGCGCTCGCGAGATCTGCAGGGAGCGAATAGCCTGGCTTTGGGTCACGGTTCCCAGGGCTGCATCAAATGGACCCTGTACGAGAAACTAAGATCTATTCAACCAATGCAAGTCCAAGCGTCCATCGTGCGTACGTAAGACGGATTGATATGTTTGGCATAATGCCTCAATATGTCTACAAGTAAGTTGATGATCTTCCAAATTGAGGAACAGTGCCGAGGGAGATAATCAAGTTGATATCATGCTGCACCTCTTTGTCTACTAGCTCAGGGAAGTCTCTTCGGTGCGCTGTCAGAGGCGCTGTATCTAGCTCCCGTCGACCGAAAGGGATCGGTGGAGCCTAAAGCTACAGCCGGTGCTGTGAATCGGGAGGGGTGTCTGCTTTCGGACGAAGATGGCAGATCCTGAGAGATAGGGCAATCATGACGATCACGACTTCCGAGACCAAATACTTAAATCTATATATACATATATATATATATATGTCTACCTTCCTCGCCAGCTAATCTAGCTACCTATCTACATTTACCTGTCTACCAATCTTTCCGCCTACCTCTCTACCAACCTATCTGTCAGTCTAGGCCTATATATCTGTGCGTGCGCACATACCATACCACACCATATCTTACCTACATACTAGTACATGCATACACATGCATGCATGCAGACATGCATACTACAAATATATACATGAATATACATACATTGCACGTACTATAGATACGAGTAGAGGGGTATCGGAGTTCGATGCTTGAAACTTCCGCCGACCTCTCGAGGTCAGGTAGGCGTGGCAGTCAACGCATTTTGCACCGCAGCCACACCTCTGCAGCTGAGGCGGCTCAAGCTCTCAAGTCCAAGTGGGTAGTTCTCCAAACTAGGGTCCCTTTGGGGGTCCTTTCTATGACGGTGCCGCCTTCTTTTGGGATCCCCAATTTATCTTTTGGGATCCCTAGTTTAGAGAACTACCCGAGAGGCCAAGCAAGCGATGAAGCTCCAGTTTGGTACGAGCGCACCGACGTTCGAAGTTCGACCGTTTTGCAGCCAAGGAGCCAGTCGGATTCGCAGCATGCACAGGGCGACTCGGCCACGGCAGGAGAAGCAGAAATCAAGCTCAACCTGGAGCATCTAAGGCTCTCTCACAACACATCTATCAAAGCTCCACCCGAGCATCTCAGCAACGAAAGAAGGAAAACACCTGTTCCGAGCACTGCAAGAGTTGCACTCGTGCTGAGAAACGACCCAGTTCTTAACGCTGCCAAGTCACAAGGAGCTGCCTCAGACAACAACGCAACATCTGGGCCGCTTTGGCTGTCATGAACTCTGTCGGAGGCCTTGGGGCTGGGGCGCCGTGCATACCTGCTTTGTTTATGCTTCGCTTAACGCCACACCAAACGTGCTGCTCTTCTTAGTCTTGAAGGCTTGGGCCTCTCCGTCACGGGGAGAGAAAACTAAGCGAGAAAACGAGGCCACACCCCCAGTGCACACACAGCGCGATCGAGGGCCTCTTCTGGTCGATGCTTTTCAGCCGGCTTTTGCATAGCCGGTCGCTCGCTGCTTCTTGCTGAGACTCAGCATTGGTTATCGTTCTCGGTCTCGCCGAAATACATCCAAGCCACCGAGCAAACTGCGCCGCGAGTATTCGGAAGCTGAAACATCGTTGAGTTCAGTCGTCCTGAAAGCATCACCCGACATGCACAGCTCTTGCGTTGTGCGGGAGAACATACCCACACGCATGTTGTATACATATATACTTCCACATACAGTACACATTCCTACATCCTGCATGCATGCATGCATGAATGCACGCATGGATGCAGACATACATACAGACAGCCAGCCAGCCAGCCAGCCAGGCCGACATGCACATACCGACGTGCATACATGCATACATATGTGCAGCCAAACCATGCATGCATACATACAGACCCACGAACTTACTTACAGACATACATACATACGTACGCACCTACCTACATAAATGCACACGCACATACACATCCGCGCATGCATACATACTTATTTACATTGTGTATAAACATGTGTGTGTGTGTGTATATATATATATATGTATATATATATATATACATATATATATATGTCCTCTGTGTGTGTGTGTGCGTGCACCATGGGTAAGAGAGGAAGAGAGAGAGAGAGAGAGAGAGAGAGAGAGAGAGAGAGAGAGAGACAGAGAGAGAGAGAGAGAGAGAGAGAGACAGAGAGAGAGAGAGAGAGAGAGAGAGAGAGAGAGAGAGAGAGACAGCGAGTGAGAGACAGAGACGGAGACGGAGACGGAGACGCAGACGGACACAGAGACAGAGACAGAGAGAGAGAGATAGAGACGGTGACGGAGACGGACACAGAGACAGAGACAGAGAGAGAGAGAGAGTTGCATGTACTTGTTCTTGAATTGTCTTGAAGTGTCTGTGCGTGTGTGTGTGTGTGGCCCTTTATCTATCTATCTACCTATCTATCTTTGTGTCTGTCTGTGTGTCTGTCTGTCGATCTATCTACCCATCCACTTGCTGGTACTTATATGCAGACGCGTGTTCGTGCAGCCATACTGCGATAGAACGCGTAGTAGTGATAGCGATAGCAAGAGCACTAGCACGAGTAGTAGTGACCGTAATCGTGATAATGATGGTGACGGTAGTAGCGACAGTACTTTTTCAACTACCATTGTCATTGTCGTTGCTTATACTGTTGTTACCATTAGAAATGTGTGCATGCGTATATACGAGGGCATATATATATATATATATAGATATGTATGTGATATGTGTATATACATACATGATATGTGTTAAGCTTGCTTGTCATCAAGGCACACCCGTCATCACAAAGCTGTCACGAGCATCACTGGCAGCGAGCGACATCCTTGGAACTACTGCGAATGCTGGCTGCTGCCGAGCAGCTGCCTTGCTGACGACGGAAGCACCCAAGTGGGAGCAGCTCGCCCGCTCCGTAACTGACATCGGGTCGTAAGCCAGACTTGAGAGCAGCTCACTCGGGTTGTTTAAAACATCTGGACCCCGAAACCTATCTTTCTTTGTCTCAATGCCCAGGGGCAATCAGCACCGTGGCCAAAACCACAAGGGAAGCTCTTCCTGGCACCGGGGTAGCTTCTACTCCCGACCCGACTCTCTGCCCTGCGATGAGGCTACATGGGACCGATACACAGGTGCTGTTCGCGATCGATTGTAGCCGGCAAGATCAAGTGATGCCAGCCCCTGAGAAGTACAAATCCGTCCAGCAAAATGACATTAGAACAGGGTTTGGGGCCCATTATACTACAATCATAATCCCATTATACTATGATCATAATCCCGTTATACTATAATCATAATAAGGAGCCCCCCAAAAAATACTACGTGCAGCGGGGTTAAGTCGCAGCAGGGCGCGTTTAGTCACAACATCCCCAAGGTGACGCTCGATCCGCGTTCAGTCGCATCACCCGCGTTTAGTCACATCAGACATAGCGAAACCCCATGGGCACACGGCCCGGAAGTGGGTTTCAACACATGTAGCGAAATGAGTAGAAAGGCCGCGTGCCGCAGGTATTCGTGCGTATTTTGCACTCACATCACCTCGTTAAGCCACATCAGGAATGTCGAAACCCCATGTGGATGCCGCCCGGAGGCGGTGATTTGGCTAGACATTCCACAACATACTGTCGTTTACACGGCTGGAATAGTATCGCTAATATCGGGCTTAGAGCTTTCGGTTTCATATTATCGGCTTTAGGGTGGTAGTTTAAGGGTTTAGTGCCTTCGGGCTTTATCAAACGGTTTTAAGGTGTTAAGGCTTTCGGGCTTTAGTGAAGGCTTTGCCCATCCGTGCTCCTGCTTCGCATTTCTGGATTGCGGGTTCGCGCAAGTAGAAGGATTTAAAAACTGCTATGCTTCCACTGAAGCATTCGCAACCACGTCAACAAGCGGTCCTCACCAAGGCTTGCAGTGGTTACATGGTTCAGGTTGAACTCCAGGCCGGGTTTTCACATTTTTGTGCATGGGTTGAACGATACCCGGTCGTACATCAATAAATGGGGGTGAACGATACCCTCCGGTGTGATTTTGAAGCCACATGCCCATCAGGGTCGATCTCGCAACGCAAGAAACTGTCGCATATTTAGCGAACATCCATAGCATCGAGGCGCCTAAACCCCGCCATGCCCACTGTGGACGCTGAATTTCCCGAGCAGTTGCTCCCAGGCGCATATCACCCATAACACCACAGCACGTCAAAACCAGCCATTCCCCATGTACACGCTCGATTCCACAGGCAGCGGCTCGAGACGCACATCAGTGGCATCACAACACATCAAAATTAGCCATTCCCCATGTGGACGCTCGACTCCACAAGCACCCGGAGGAGGCACACATAAGTATTCACTGCGATCACCCATTTTACAGCATATCTAAACCCGCCCTTCCCCATGTGGACGCTTGATTCCACAGGCAACCGCTCGAGACTTTGGGCCAGCAACCGGTACCACTGGAATCGCAAACAGCAGCTGCACACTAGCTGAATCATTAGGTCTACAAGCATGTCCGAGGATGCGAATTGACGCATTTTAGCAGAATCCACAACTGCACACTCGATCGATGCGACTAAAAACAAGCGGATGCGACTTAACCCATGGACCCAGTACAGGTCAGATTTCGGGCCTGGTAGATAGACTGCACGTCTGCCAGCAACATTGTGCAGCTGCACCGGTCGATGCCGGCCCATGCTCTTCGAACCACCCTTGTCCTTTTAGAAATAATAGACAGAGCCCTGTACCTATATCCCTTTGTAAGCATTCTTTGAGAAGGTCTACTAGCCGGTCTGTTTATTCTTTTTGGGGAACAATGAAAAAGGACAAGGCTGCTTCGAACTCCTTTAAAAGGGTCCAGAAGGGTTACTGTAAGGGATCTATAAGGGTACTATACTAAAAGAATACTATGGTATAAGGGTACTATACTAAAAGAGTACTATGGTATGAGGGTACTATACTATAATATAATATAGTGTTTTGACTGAGGCTCTCTCATGCGCGATCAGCAAATCGTCTGCAGGAGCCGACGTTATGCCATGTTCTCTTGAATGCATGGCAGAGACCGAAACGAAAATAACGAGGCGAGAATGCATTGAAGCTTCATTCAACATGCACGTGTGGTACACTGGTACCCCGAATCCTCCGAGTTTCTCTTGGTTTCTGACACAAACCTCCCTGCCTCAACCAATCAACTTCAACTTTGGAATCTGCAAGGGGCCAAAGCAGAAAATGCAAGCGGAACCCTCCAGCATTGCTGAGGCCCTCACCACACGTCAAAAGCCTGGCAGACCAGCACAAGTGTATGCAAAGGCAGCAAAGCCTCATCTGGCAAGCATGGCTGGTCTCAACGGACACATGCAAGGACGGTCCAGGCACACTGCAAGTAGCAAGTGAAGTTCGTCAGAGGACCGTGAGACTGCACAGCCAACTTCGAGGTACTTTGTTGCGACAAGGCCACTGAATCGTGTACCCACAATGATATACAATGATTATTCTCACAAAAGACATCTACCCCAAGCTCCGAGAAAGCGAACTTTCGTGATAAAGACTCGTCGGGACTATAAACTTTTTTTGGATTTGAAACACTTAGTAGGGCCTGTAAAGACTGTGGCGGGGAGACATGTAGACGTTACTGAAGACATACTGCTGTGGAGTATCTCGGTAGTTCTCTAGAGTAGGGTTACTTTTAGGTCCCGCATATAAATGCTTGCAGTCACGAGTCACAATGCCACCATCGTGCTGTGGCAAGCCACCCGGCTCCCGACTCCTGACCCCCAATTTATGCAAATTGGGTACGGCTCACATTGGCGAGCAACTGCGTACTTCTATCCTTCCTCGTCTGCCTTGGCAGAACCCTGCAAATGGACGGTATACGGATCGGCATGGAGAAGCATTCACCAGAGAAAGCATCGCGAGGGTTGCGTAGTTGACCGTGAGCTTGATCAACGCAACGCTTACCTGGGAATCATGCCAGGGAAACCTTCAACCTTCCCTTCAAAGCTTCATAAAGCTTCAACTCGACTTGCAAGCTGTCCGGCAGCTTGAGGCTTCAAGAAGACACCTGACACAGGCGACGATCCGAAACCCAAAGAAGCTACGACGATCCGTCACCACAGTAAGAGCTGCAATACGCTTCACTTCACGTCAACGGCATGCGCCAACTCGTCGAACGTTCAAAGCTTTAGTATCGCAACTTTCTCTGTATGTGAGTCTATCCAAACTCTGGGGGAGATGCCGTCGGTGGGAATCGTGCTGGGTTACACCTCAGTAGACAAGAGAAACTCACACCATTGAACTACTCCGAAACAGAGTGCTGCGACGATGCTTTCCAGAACTCCGAAAGCACTTCGTGCGGGAAGTGTTTCGATTGCATCCTTGCTCTCAGTGCAGCGCGCAGTAACAAAGTAGTTCACTTGTCCTTGAGTGGGCTCCTCGACAGAAGATATGGCACTTCTCACGTCAACAACAACGAGCCAGGCAGAACCTGAAGCTCTACCACATCACTGTCAGAGAGTATCGATTGCATGAGCTTTGCTGTCCTGAGGCCGGCCATGCACCAAGCCTTTGGAAAGGAGTAGGGTCAGAGGAGTTGAATCAAGCGGTGCTTGTGGCGAAGTGCTGTTCTTCCGAGGCCTGTGTTGTACGAGTAGCACGAGCATTCGGGGAAACTACTTGCGGTTTATGTCGAATGCCCGCACAGCCTCAACTTCAAGGCTGCGCGTGATTTGCCTTCGAGGAGCATTGGGTGATTCCATGTGATTCCAAACTGCGACACTTGCAGGGAGTGGGGTTCAACCAACACTGGCCGACTAAGCAACAGATGGGCATCGTTTCCTGGACCTGCAGTTGAGTCTAGAGTGTAGAAGGCGTCTGACTGCAGTCTTCTTTGTGTATCGAATCGCAGAACACGCCTGGTTAGTAAGTACGTCTCGCACTGCTGATTGCTCCGTTCCAAGCAAGACACAAGCAGCATCAAACATGGGAGGGGAGAGTGTTCGTGCGCAACTGCACTGCCTTGACGGCGAAAAGATAGTGGAGGTGGTCTTAACAGTCGTCGTCGTCGTCAAAGTGGCAGTCGCAGTAGGAGTAAGAGGAGTAGAAGGGTAGAGGGAGTATTAGTAATAGTAGCAGTAGCAGCAGCAGCAGCAGCAGCAGCAGCAGCAGCAGCAGTAGTAGTAGTAGTAGTAGTAGTAGTAGTAGTAGCACGGTCCCATGAATGATGCACAAAGGCTTCCCTGCCAAAGACTACAACACCTGGTCCCGCATCTTGATCAACACCCAGAGTCGCCTGATCGCTCGTCCAGCGTCACTCCAAGCGGAAGCCGTGGAGCAGCCTCGGCACTTGTCAAGCCACGACACCCGACTTTCACCCGACTTTTCGGGTAAGGGTCTGGTACCCGAACCTGCACTGCCCGTACCCCTCCCCGATCAGACATCTCATGAGTTCCGGGCTGCAAAGAGGCAGCCTCGCAGGTGAGATACCTGCGAGCTGCTTTGCTGGTTCGAGACAGAAGCCGGATCACAAAGGCTCCCCTTCGTAAGGTGCCAGGACTGGCTCGTGTCGGCTTACGTGCGGAAGCATGCACCCTCCTGTTGCGGCCTGTGCGTTAAAGTCCGGATTGTCCTTGATACAACACTCCTGATGCTTGAACTTTCGTAAGGGTTTTGGAACCTGGTCCGCAATCACTTCGCAGATCAAGGAACAGATGGCGGACCCGCTTTGGATAGAAGGCAGCGGACTCGACTTGTCTGTCTGACTACTGCTGCTAGACCTCATCGCATAAGTGGCCATACTGTCATAAGACAGGGGCCTTAATCATAAGATTGGGGTTTTGGTGCGTAATTTAATCATGGCATGGTATACCCCCAATTCCTACTGTAATATTTAAGGCCCCTATATTATAGTATCCTTCTAGATCCCTTAGAGTAACCCTTATAGAATCTTATAGACCCCTTTAAAGGTACCCTTTCCCAGCAATGGTACGCCCAAGCAAACTCGGGGGCACCGGCGGCCATAACTCGACCATCTGCCCAACGAAAACCTCGAGGCTGTTGGGCTTGTACCTGGCAACGGTTACCAGATTACCAGGACCCTCCTTGTCCCCTTAAATATGGGCTTTTACGATCTAATAGAGGGTACCTGGCAACGGTTACCAGAACGAGGGTTAATCGAATTAGGTAGTATGTAGTTACCGCAGTAGAGTTATTAATACCTGGCGACGGTTACCAGAATTTAGGGTTTAGGTTAGCCGAATCAGGTAGTACTGGGCAGGGTTACCAGAATTTAGGGTTTTGGGTTTAGGTTAGCCGAATCAGGTAGTGCCCGGCAGGGTTAGCAGAATTTAGGGTTTGGGGTTCAGGATTTCCAGATAGTCGAACAAGGTAGTATGTACCTGGCAACGGTTAGCAGAATTTAGGGTTTAGGGAATAGTGTTGAGGGGTCAGGGTACCTGGCAGGGTCACCGGAATAAAGGGTTTAGGGGTCAGGATTTAGGGTTTAGGGGCTGCCGCAGTTATTAGAGTACCTGGCAGCGGTTACCAGAACGAGGTTGATCGAATTAGGTAGTATGCAGTTACCGCAGTACCTGGCAACGGTTACCAGAATACCAGGACCCTCCTTGTCCCCTTAAATATGGGCTTTTAGAATCTAATAGAGGGTACCTGGCAAGGTTACCGGAATTTAGGGTTTTGGGGTCAGGGTTTAGGATTAGGGTTAAGGTTTAGGGGTTAGGGTTTAGGGGTTAGGGTTTAGCGGTTCGAGAACGAGGTTACTCGAAGAAGGTAGTATGTAGCTGCCGTAGTAGAGTTGTTAGAAACACGTGGAAAAATCAGTTCAGTGCGATTGCTGCAGAATTGACACTTAGAGGTCTACTCCGCAGGCTTCGCAGAAGCTTTCGCTGTCCTAAGACATCTGCCGCCACAGCAAAGGCCCGGGCTCGAAGAAGTCCATGGAAGTCTCAGGGCAGGCACACGCGTTCACTGTGTTCTACGTAGTGCAAGTCGTGGCCCGTGCAATCCCCAGCTTCTTGAGGGCAGGAGAGCCTAGGAAAGGTAAGTTGAGTTCAGATACCCGTGGGGGGAGGTGACGAAGGGCTCGTCGCGGCAGTTTCTCATGAGCTTCCTTGGCTGCAGTGGCACGCCTCATCGTCAGCGAATTTTCACTTTACTCTCGGGGGAAACATTCAGTGGGGTGTTTCCCTGGCAAGAGAGGGTAGTTTCCTAACATAGGGACACTAATATAGCATCCTAAATAGTAGGATTGTATAAATCAGCTACCCGATGAGACAAGTCCGAAGGGCGATGCGACGGCAGATGGCATTAGGCACACGCAAGACGACCTGACAGCCAATCCCCGGCCTGGTTCAGAAGGGATTCGGGAAGGTGGTCCTGGACAAGCTGCGTGGCTCGAAGCTGTAATAGTGCGGTCATCGTCCAGCCGTGTGACAGGCAGCCATAAGAGAAAACAGCACCTGTAAAGGCGGTTGAAGTAATCGTCTCTGTACCCAAGTTCACGCCCTGGTAGTACTTCCACTTTTAATCACACATGGGGCTGCACAGCAACAGAACGATACATCGTAAGATCCGTAGTAACAGTACTACCGATGGAAAGTTTCAGCTGTGGACAAGCAACAACACTTCTTTCTTGCTTGCAGCAGTAGTAGTAGCAGCAGTAGTAGGATCAGCAGAAGTAGTA